GACCTTTCAGGGCCTGAGAAGCCTGAGAAGAATGGTCTTTAAATCCTGAGAGAGAAGCGCTGATATTTTTTCAGCGGTGTGACTTCTATGTTGTCCAGGTGCGCGGCAGGACTGAAACAGTCAGAAGAAGAATCAAAAGGAACTTCGGTTGATGTACTAAAGCCAGGGGAACCCAGTCCTGGTCCTGGAGACTCACACATCAGCTGGTTTTTGTTTCAGCCCATCCCAATTACACAATCAAACCCTTAATTGACTCGAGAACAGAATTAATAGGAATAAATTCAGCTTCCAGCTCCTACACCTGCTGCAGATTGAAGTTTTAACTATCACACTTCATCGGTAAAGTAAAATGTCCAACTTTTGAGAAGAAGACACAAACTTGCACATATTCCAAGTTCCTGCAGATCCCACAGCCCCCCGCTCCTCACCTCGTATTTCTCCTGGCCCAGGGTCTCCACCACCACCCTGTCCCCGGACTGGTCGATGCGGCACACCGCCCTCTCCAGCTTCACGCGGTCCCCAAGCCAGTCCTTCAGCCGGTCGCTGATCTGCTGCGAGCCGCCCATGAACTTCCGCTCCTGCCACGGAAAAGCGGGCTTTTATTCCACCAAAAAAAGTCTCCCCAGCAGCCCTGAACCCCAGCTACACTCGCCCGCTGGGGTGCAGGCTCCTCTGCGCAGTGTGACGCTCTTGTCAAGGGCCACAGAAAAGCGGGCTTTTATTTCCCCAAACAGTATCCAGAAATCAAGTTAACGGCAGGGTAGTTTCAGGTTTGTTTGCTTGGGCAAGTGTGTTCATGCTGCTTTGCCATAAGGGGGAACTGTACCACCCTCCTCTCATTCAAGACCATGGTGTTGAGTCAAATCTCTACGTGGCTTATTTGGTGCATTCTTCAATTTGAGACCAAAAGATCTGGATGTTTTAAAATATCTCACATCTACCCAAACAAATTGAATGTAATGCAGGTGCCAGCTGAACTTGAATCTGAGTTATACTTTCCGAGGCGAAAAGCACCTTAGAAGGTGAAAACCCACGTTTGGTGCTGAAATGAAGCCAGAGCTATAAAACTATTTGCCACCAAAATAATTCTAAGGACATCCAGCACAGTGTTTTGGCCTTTTAAATAACTTTTTCCCTCAACATAATTAGCTCTGTTAACAAGAACTATTAGCCAGACACCATAAATTGCTAAAATAACATTGTCAGGTCCAGATGGAGTGCACAAAGAGGCCTAGGTTTCCTTGGCAACCAGATAAGATCAACACCACTGTGCAGCTGAACAAAATAATTCATCACTGTTAGAAATGGATGTTGGTATGCAATATGAAAAGGTAAGCAAATTATTTTGAATGAGGCATTTATAACATGTAAAATACACAAGGTTTTCTACAGCCAGAATGACTGATAAATATGTATCTTTTCTTTGCAAATCTGATCTTTTTGCTGTTGCTCCCAATGTTATCTCTCATCTGACTTGTAGAGTCTGTCATGAAGTGTTTGTGCTAGACTCTTTTGTTAACACAAACAGAAGATCCAGTTTCATGCACCAGTAACGTCTGTCTGAAGTCACACTTCTGTGTCTGGAAAGCTACTGTAATCCAATAAAATGCTATTCTAATTTTAATCACAGGGTTGCCTTTTGAGAGTTATGTATAGTTTACCGTGGTAAACTTCTGTGATATTTTTGCTGTTCATCCGTAATTCACAGTGTATACACACTACTTCTCCATTCTTCAGCCTGATTCCACTCTGTTTTATGACACTTTACTGCGGATTTATCACAATTTGCCACAGTAAACTGATCTAAAGGTAGGCTGGTGAGTTGTGGATACAGCTTATGCTCACTGAGAATATTATTCAACATTCTGAAAAACATACATCTGGTTAGACAGAAATGGTTTGAGAGACTGCACCCCAGAGAGGTAGCTAATTCTCTCAAGTATTTCACGTGGAGCTCTGATAAGTGGTTTCTTGCATGTAAAACCAGTTTCTAAACAGTCGCTTAAAATTATCTAACATATACTGAGCTCTGGCAGCTCCATCTGGGGTCTGAACTGCAGGAAATGACTCAGAACTCGTAACAAAAACATTCTAATTATGAAAATCTATCCCAATTTGCTCTGTGCTCATGCACATTTGAATTGGAGGTAATGGCTTAACACTTAACATAAAAATTGTTCAAAGCAGGCCTTTGTATTTTTATTCTAAACCAACAAAAACAGCATGCGAGGGTTACATCACAGGCAAAAGTGGAACTTTTTGCAATGCTTCTTCTACAGCTGTTCTGAGAGCCAATGTACTAGCTACTGTTTTAAGACACTGTATAATTCCTAACCAGCGTTCCGAATTTGAAAGCACTCAGAATCAGAAAAGCCGTGACACTCTTCTCTTCAAGAGAAAATCCTGTGAATGAACTGGAAGACGCTACCTCAATTGGATGGTGCCGGAATAAAAGGCAGAACTCCCTCAGCAGGGCAGGAAAAAAAAGGACAGAAAGCAATTTTAAAGAAGGCAGTCCTGAACAAGAGCTGTCAACGTGATTCAGGCTGCAACTGGCGTTTTGTTTTGAAGTGGAGAATCTTTCACCCCCGCCCCACCGATGAAAGTTTTGAACCCCCCCTCACCCTTTCACCCTCTTTTTCTCTTGCGCTCAACTCCTGCTCACCTGCCCCCCATTGGTGGTGGAGAATATCCTCATCGTGCCCCCGCACTGCTTGACGTACCACAGGAACCACAGGGCTGAGACCTCATGCGGCTCCGAGGTGACGTTCACGTTCACGAAGAGGTTGGCGAACTGCCGGGCGACGCTGGGCCGAGACAGGAAAGGAGATGGTTTACTGGACGTTCGCTCCATCCCTTAGCTCGTCCGCCACTGCTCGCCGACACACAGGTCTCGCCTCTTTCTCTGACAGGCCCGAAAACCAGACACCACCTTCATCCAGACCTACCCAGCAAATGGCACTTTATTTTGGGAAAGGAAAAGTTCTGTAACAAGGAACTAAGACAGAGGTTCCCAGTGACACACCTGATGGGTTTTTACTCCATCTGAGGACTCAGTTAAATAATTGGTCCCTGGATAATAATAAGTGTGGTTTGTGATCTCTTAAATTGTTTTGCTTAAACATGTAAAAGGTTGTCTTTTAATTACTGCATTTAAGTCATTTAAAATCTCCAACCTTTTTGAGGAAAACAAACTTGCAAATCTTCCAGCCAAGTGTCCTGTTGGCTCAATATAGGATTCATTTAGGTAAAGACCTCAGCTGTAATGAAAGCCAGAAGGTGTGGGGGTTCCCAAAATAAGGAGTGGGAACCCTCAGATCTAGAGGTTGTCGTGTTGATACCATGTGTCTGCGTTTTCATGTTGAGCTCAAGACTTAATTTGCATTGACTTTCACAGGAAAAAGTGTAAATGCATATTATCAACCCTATTTAATACCACAGCTTTGAGAAAAATCGTACAGTGTTGAACAATGACACAGGAAACATCTACGGGCACGATCTTTACATACTAGAGGGAGGGGAGCTACTGTATGTCAGCTTGTGTTTGTAGGAGGACACAGTACACAGCTGCACAAACCTGTTCAGTGTCCAATGACGTTATACAGTACATGAGATTATCATGTCTTTGTCATTGTCCCATTTGTTATTTAAAGTGCAAAAGGCTAATTTGACTTCATTTGAAGTGAAGGGAAAAGAATGCACGATTTAGATTAGCATTTGTAATGAAGAATGAGTTATTCACTGTCTATTATTTTTCCAAGTACTTCTTTGACAACCAAGTCATTCTTTTCTGGTTATTACTGAGAATGTAATGTGACATTTTGTTCATATTAACAGGGATTGCCCCGGGAAGAGGTTGTGGTTTCAGGGTTGAATAAATGAGTACTACCGTGTCCAGCACAGCTTGTCAAAGAGTTCCTTCATGGTCATTTTATCCCACTCTTCAGCATGGGGCGCCCTCCAGGGTGCTTCCCGTGGAATCTAGATGCAAAAAACCTGCTATGAGAATACCAGGCAGCCCCATAACCTTTAGTACCACCAAGCACGTTTGCTGTGCGTGATCTTAGGAAACAGGATGACTTACAGTACTGCTGGCTCTGGGTTCTGCAGTATATGTGGGTTTAGTAAAGGAAAATATGCAAAAACCAAGCCAGAACCTATGACATTAGCCTTACTCCCTGTCCTAAAGGCACTTTCCAAGCGTTGCATCAGGGTGTATCCCCTTTTGCTGGATTTAAGAGAGAGACTGTTTTGACAACTTCAGCATCAAGGTTGCTGTTTGTCAGCCCCATAAAAAAGATGTATCCCAAGAATGTCCTAAAGCTCATCTGGTACCCATTAAATGGCCACTGAAATGTAGTGATTTACATTTTGTTGCCTGTACATCCCAGAGCAACGTGAGAGTTTCGTACCTCCTGTCCCATTTTATCCATCGTCCTCCAGAGGTTGTTGTAATCCATCAGGGCGAGGGGGTTCCACATGGGGGGGAAGGGCCCCTTGAAAGGATAGGATTTGCCCTAAAAAAGAAAGAAAAGCCCCCTAAGCACAACTGCCCTTGGGGCTACTGCCCTCTTGGCAACATACACCACTGAAATGCTTTAGCCCACACAGATAGAAGCACAGATTCCTGTTAGCAGAAAGGCACCACAACCCAGAACAACCCTCTTTGTCTGCACCCTTATGGAAATCTCCTCTTCTTGTGATTTTGGGCAGTGTTTTTGCAGCTTTCCTTTGGTTGTGGTTTTACCCCGTACTGTGTATATCATGCATTTCCTGTGCTAACAGGGACTGAAAGGCAACCCGGCAATGTCATCGAGGGTTCTTGTGGCAAGGTTCAAGACACAATTCGGAAGGACAACATAAAAGGAGTGATAATTGCTTACACTTATATAGCGCTTTTCTGGACACTCCACTCAAAGTGCTTTGCAGGTAATGGGGACTCCCCTCCACCACCACCAGTGTGCAGCCCCACCTGGATGGATGATGCGGCGGCAGCCAGTACCACCAAATACCACCAGTACACTCACCACATACCAGCTATCAGTGGTGAGGAGAACAGAGTGATTAAGCCAGTTCACAGATGGGGACTATAAGGAGGCCATGATTTGTAAGGGCCAATGGGAGATTTGGCCAGGACACCGGGGTTACACTACCACTCTTTTCGAGAAATGCCACACAAAGAGTCAAGACCTCGGTTTAAGGTCTCATCCAAACGATGGCACTTATTTACAGTATAGTCTCCCCATCAGTATACTGGGGCATTAGGACCCACACAGACCACAGGGTGAGCACCCCCTGCTGACCCCACTAACACCTCTTCCAGCAGCAACCTTAGTTTTTCCCGGGAGGTCTCCCAGCCAGGTACTGACATCCTCACATGTGCTGAGCTTCAGTGGGTTGCCAGTAGTAAGTTGTGAGTTGCAGGGTGATATGGCTGCTTGCAAAAAGTTGTGCCCTAAGCAGGAATCAAACCCAGATCTCTGAGATCCGAGAGGCGTGTACCAACCGATCGCACCAACACCCTGCTCGTGATCAAAGTGAGCAGAATGAGATCCAGTAAGACAGGCTTGCAGTGTTTACTGGCTAGTTATCCCCTTAGAAAAGCAGGCAGACAGCACAGCTGATGGAGACAATGTTCCTTTGCCTTATCAGATAGCTCTCTAAGGTTTTACAAGGCATTAGCATGACTTCATGATGAGGCATCTGTTCCCTCTGCTCATTCTTCAAAAACTGTGTTTTTTTAGAATTTACACACAATGTTGCTTTACGCAGTGAAGTTTGTGTAAAAATTGGTCCCAGGCCAAAATTCCTCACATTTGTTTGTGTTTGCGTAACTGTGTAGTGAGCACAGAGTGAGAGCCTGAAAGGACAAGTATTGTGGCTTTTTGAAAGAAATGATCTTCTCTCGTGCTGGAGCAGCTCTGTAATTTTCAGCTGTCTTCTTGCCTCTCCATGAAATGACCCATCAGGATGCGGGCACTGACAGATCGGTCCCCACTGATGGAGCCTGTCAGTGTGCTCCTCGGAAAGGGCTCGGGGCGTGGGAGGGGATGTTCGGCAAGAGTGCCAAACAGCAGCACAGCAGCCTGCTCAAATGTGATCTGACTGAGAGCTGGCAAACGCTGAGAGCATTTCAGTGCATTACGAGTTCTAGCAGCTTCAGCGTGCGCAACAGGCCTTTCAGGTTGAGGAAGATGTCAGTGTCCAGTGTGAGGATCCTGCTCCATTCATGTGCACATCAGATGAAATGTCAAGTATTAACAAACCTCCCAGTAAGCTCACAACCATTATCAAGCAGAAACGAAGCCTTTTGAATGCTAGTAGCAAGTACATAGTATAGCTGTAAGCAGAATATAAGCAGGGATCTTGTTTTTTTTTTGCACCTAGATTTTACTCCTGTTTTCTCCATATTTTTCCTCATCCCAATCTCCCTGGTTCTTATAATCACTCACTCCCATTGCTAAGGGTTTTGTGAAACAGTTATTTGGAAATGAAGGACAAATAGGTCATCCGGTGGCTCCTAGAACAGTGGCACCTGCATGCTGCCAATAGGAATGGAGTGACTGATAAGCACGGGCACAGGGCTAGGAAACAGCTCCCTAAAACAGCACAGCTGCAAATACACGGCTTGATCTCTCAGTACGACTGGATTACACTTAATGTTAACTGCACATGTGAAGTAATCATAACTCTGCCTTCAGTGGCTGTTCGATAAAACCTGTTTTAGCTCCTTCACCAATAAAAGCAACGCCTTGGACTTTGTCCAAGGCCATCATTAACATCTGAAATCCAGAGGTTAAAGGTGGTCAGATAATAGTGCCTCTGTGTAAAGGTGTGCAATATGCCCCATCAGGCAATACTTTTAATACAGCACATCCCAGGAAACACTTTCAAGCAGAACAGATAAAAACTGCAAGGTTGCACCTTCTGCAAGGTTTACTGCCTACAGTAAAATAGCTATCTGTTACATAATAATTATATATACTATTATACAATACAAACTATACATACAGTGCCTTGCGAAAGTATTCGGCCCCCTTGAACTTTTCAACCTTTTGCCACATTTCAGGCTTCAAACATAAAGATAAAACTGCTGTTCACAAACGCTCTCCATCCAACCTCACTGAGCTCGAGCTGTTTTGCAAGGAAGAATGGGCAAGAATTTCAGTCTCTCGATGTG